ATCTAGAAGAAAAGAATGATCTTGGAGCATGACTTCAACCAGCAACTCTTGCTTACTGTGCAAATGCATTGCCCGTTACACTACCCAGATCTCTGTCTGACCCTTTGCTTCCAAACACATTTGTCTGGAAATAGTCCCAGTCAGCAATGTAAGTAACCATGGATGGTTATATCTAAAATTAAGTGTCTGGAAGGTAAGGGTTAAGATGTAGATCTGGGTAGTGTAACTGGCAACACAATCTGCACAGTAAGCAGCACTTGTGGGTTTGAGTTCTGGGCCGATTCTTTTCTTTCAGAATATTCTAAATTATTTAGTAAATGTTAATTTAATTATAATTATTAACTTTAATAAGACATGGTATCTAAGCCTACCTCTAGTGTCAAATTATGTAGAATTTAATTATTAACAATAGCTGTAGAGTAGCCTGATTCAGTATGGCAATTGTTTGGCTTAATATGTACTGTACATTCTTTGATATTTAAGTATCTCTCGATACACCTCTTGGCTGAATTTTATATAGAAAAAGTTTTTTCAAAAACTCAATATGGTATCTTTAACAAAACTGAGTATGCTGAACATAGTTTATAATCCAGACAACTTATAATATGCAAAATTGAGACTGTATTCAATCTGTAGCAGAGCACAAAATGGATAAAGTTGGAGAAACACTATGTACTGTTTCACATATACCAAAGAAGACTGTCTAGCATCAGCAGAGATGTAGCCATGTGGGGTGGCATGTAGCACTAATTCCCACACCTATGATTTGTTGTCTCTTACTCTGAGGTGTTATAGCTTGAGTGACTGCAACTATGCAACTTCTGATGTTGGAACTTAGAAGTTTCTTGGAATGGCTGCAATCTAAGATCTCTAATAAGTGTTCCCGTATCAGATAAATGTCTGATATGTGCATTTTTAGTGCTTTTTATTTTGATAACTTTACAGATGTAAGAATTCCATTAAATTGAAGAACAGTAATGGTAGTATCTTAGAAATTTTCAGAATAATAAGGAAGAATTTTATTAATAAAATATTCAAACATACAAAACATATACAATGGCAACTGGTCATTCAAACAGATTTTTTTATAGCATACTAGCTTACCCGTCGCACATTGCTGCGATCTCAGAAGAAACAAAATTCAAGCAAACTCGTTATGATAAAATTAAATTTACATTTTATCATTTTTATTGAAACTTATTATTATTATTATTATTGTTGTGTTTAGTGGGTTATACTCGGTACACACCGGTGGCTGTGTACTATGCCGGACCAGAGTCAAGGCATAGCAACCAAAACAAAACTAAAATTAAATGTGTGTGTCAGTGTCAGTGTCAGTATTAAGGAATTTCCTAACAATATGGCATGTATTCAATATAGTGNAATTAAATTAATAAAATCATTCATTTATTACAAGGTATGATCAATAAATTTCGAATTTTCAAATATCATTACAAATGAAACTCTTATCTTGGTAATGACTTATAAAAAAAACAACATTAGATTAAAAAGTATTAAAATGCATTAAGTGATATAAAAAAGATAAAAGTTATCAAAAAATTAATTAAAAACAATAAAAACCAACAAAGTTTTCTTATAAGCCATATCAATTTTAAATTGAATTTTACATTTATTTTCCAACACACAAATTGGCCAAGTGTGCGTCAAACGCGCATTGATATATTTTTGTTAAAACTCACATTTTACGGGCGCTTTAAGATATATGTGCTGCCATGTTGTTGTACATTTGATCGTGCGCTTTCGGGTAGAGTGGATGCATGTTGGCCGAAATGGAGAACGATCATTTTGATACTGATCTATTTATTGATGAAATCTAAGAGAGACCAGCCATCGTCAAATGATTTTATAGATAGTCTAAAAGAATTAAAAAATTTGAGTTCATATTGCCTTAGTTTTGGATACAACGTCAGAAACATTCCATGCATCAGTATATCTCGTAATATTGGGTGCACCCAAAATTTTCTTTGCCTCTGCCATCGTCTTTTATAGCGACAATGGAGGAAGCACACACAAGCAATTACTTTCACGTCCATTTCCAAACTGAGCCAGTGCTAATGCTCCACTAAACAGTCGTCGAACGCCGAGCTAACGCACTGTGTGTATGCTGCTAACACGTGTTTAATGCAACACAAAATGCCTAATGTGTACACAGCCTTATTCACTCAATTTTCTATGTAAAATAGGTAAATTTTATAAAATATTAAAATTAAACACAAAATTCTGATTTTTGGATCTAACCAAAAAGTAGGTAAAAGGTACAACTGTTCAGAATGAATTTTCAATTTATTTTGTTACAAGTATCTAAAATAGTGTATGTTATCAATTCTTAATCATTATGTAAATTTCAAAATTATGATTGTCCATAAACTATTATACAAATTTCAATCTAGTGGATGAATATGTTAGGGAATTGTTTTCAGTTAGTCAGATCATGGGTTAAAATCCTGCTTCAGACATGCATATTTATATTGGTTAGATTTTAATGGGAATTGTTATTTGGCTGTGCTTAAAAACCAGTCAAAATGGCATCGCATGTAAAATTAAGAAACTATTCCAATTTTGTGAAAAAACTTTAAAATATGCTGGAAAGTTAATTAAGCTTTTAACAGATTTTAAAAAATCATCTAACAGCCTATTAAATATAATACCAAAGAACACACAATTCTAGGAAATTGATCTTATTCATTTGTTGGAATCAGGTGTGTAAGAATTGTTCAACAATTACAAAACACAAATAAAATTATAAGTGAAGGAATTTTTATCCTTTCTAATAAAATCTATCTTTTTTTTATATATTATAAATTTTTTTATTATTAATTTTATAAGATAGGAAAAACCTGTTCAAACTTTCATATTCAATTATAAAATTATTAAATCAGAGATTAAACTGTATTAAGAATTTAAATTCCTAACTTAAGTTAAAATTGTGAGGACCACTATTTCCCGAAATTTTGGTTATTATAGACCTCCTGTTTATATATATAATACATATATACACTTAAATTATTATTAGCATTATAATTTTAAATCAATTTATTGTATTTTAAGTTATATATGTATTTTATATCCCTTTTTTTGTTTTGTCTGGTTGTGCAATGAACAATTGTTAACTATCAGACAGGATACTCTTTGCACCCATATCTCAGAGATGTAACTGTAAATGTGACACTGGAATTGTTTATGTTTATTAATAAATGTTGTAAAGGAATTTTGCCTATTTTTCTATTTTACAGACCTCCCCTTTCTAAATTTTTAGTAATACCAGTTAAAAATAATTCAGAGAAACAAATTAGAATAAAAAAATTATCCATTAATTGTTTTAAATCCCACAACATTCGAAGGAAAAGACAAAGTGGATGACCGTCATTTCCCCAATTTTCACTAGTGTTAGATGACAGACAGGTTCTACTCTGTCCATGTGACATGGACATACTGTACATAATTCTTAACCTTTGTAGTGAGAGTTAGTCAGATATGGTACTATCAAGATGTAGTGGAGAATAAACATGGGAAATTTTTTAAGAATTTTCCCACACATTTTTCTCATTTCCATTTCAGAAAAAATTTTTTTAAACAGTTATATCTAGTAAAGAAAAATCTTTCTTTATTGTCACATAATTCCTTATTATGTAAATTTTTTTCGCAGTAATTTTTGGCTAGTTTTTGGCGATATAGACGTTGTTCTCCTAATGATCATCCTTGACAGGTATATCTGTCGATCACAGCACAGTGGTTAATAGATGAGAGGAACACTAAAGGATGACCAATCATGCTTATGGCAAATTACATAAACTTCCTGCAGAACAAAATCATGATTGGTCAAAACAAAGAATAAAATAAAAGGGAATGACAAAAATCAGTGAAAGACTAAGTGAAGGAGAAAGAAGACAAAAAAGTGAAGAAGAAAAAGAGAGAAGGTGAAGAAGAATGAAAGAGAGAGGAAGTGAAGGAAAAGAAGAGAGGAAGAGAAAGCAGAAAGAGGATAAAGAAGAAAATCAATGCAGCATCCAGAAAGGAAGTCAACTCCTAGAAGAGAAGACAACTCTTTTCTTGGTATGTTGTGTATTGTGAAGTTCAGATACCCCACTAGATGCCGTGTTTTACAAATAGAAATAGGCTAACTCCTTAAAACAGATTTTGTACTTACTATAAATTTAAACTAAGTTCAAATGTTAAATTTTGTTTCTCCATAATAAATTTTCTCTTTTATTCTTAAATTAGTTTACTTGACTTTGAATTCCTGGACTTCAGAATGACTTTTACTCTCATGCCTTACCTGCCTTTTGTTTCTTTTTAACCTGAGGTGTGTCTGGTACACTTGGTGGCAGGATCCTATTTTAAACTCCTGTAACCAAGTTTTTAATGGGCCCCAAGCCCTCACAAAATGAATAATGTAAATAATTTAAAATTTCACAATAAGTAGTATATTTCAATACTAAATTATCTACTGTTCAGTAAAGATTAACTAGAATGACAAAAATTCAATTATTATTAGCCAAGCATAACACTGTTTCATATTCTATTCATTACTATTTATAAATTATATAATTATGCTAAAAAATTGTTGTAACCATGTGAGTGGAAAACAAAGCAAACTAACTGATCTAATAATAATTTAAAATGATTGTTAACAGAATTATGTAAATAGTTAAAAATGTTGAAATTGGTTGTGTTTTATGTTAAACTTAATGGAGATTTACTGTGGTTAGGTATTAATTATAACACCCTGTTGTAACAGTCAATAGCCTAATATGATTGATTGAAAAAAAAAAAAATTCTATTCATTAAATCTCTTTTCACATTAGATTTTTCAATCTGAATAAAAGACGATTAATTTTTCCAGATTCAATTCAAACATAAATTAATCAAATTTGTTTTGTCTTTCAGTTATATTTTTTAATTGTTTTGAAAAACACTAAAAATACAATTAGAATTTTTCAGAATATATAATTTAAGAAACATGGCCCTAATTCAGAAACTTACTGAACACACCTCATATAATTTATGAAAACTACCTCTGCATTTCTTGAAGTTCTTCCCTTATTTTCAGATCTCCTTCCTAATTTTCCTTTTGCTGCCATAGCTTCAAGTTTATGAATGACATTATTAGAAGATTGAGAGGGGTGAGTTTCATTTACTGCAGAATCATCTATGGCATGTTTTGAAGATTTCTGAAGTAAGAATTCTGGAACATTGGATAAAAGAGCAACACCTAAAAAATAATAATAATTTGTTTTAAAATATATCTTGCTTAATTAATTTTTAAATTAATTTATACAAAATAGTAAAGTAAACTCTCATTACTTTTAAACTTAAGAGACCAAAAAACATGACTTTGAATTATCCAAACATTTTAAATTCAATTTTTTTTTTTGTAATTCTAAAATAAAATTATGTTATTATCTTATATAATTTCACCCACTCAGTTACAAATGCTTTAACATTTCAAGTTATTACTTAATAATTTATGCTATTTTGGAAAGCCTGTCAGTTGGCAGATACTTAATGAAAACATAACCAAACCACATTCAAACAAATACTTGAAAATAATGTACAAAAAAAGCTTAAGTGCTTCAATACGAATTACCCACAAATTTCATCTACAAACCAATGGCTAGTTCTATGAAGAATTCACAGTCTTGAGTTCAAGATTATGAAATTTGTTTAATCTGATGAAAACAAGCTCTATTAATGTCTAAAGCTATAAGTATACATTCTATCATGAATATACACATGTATTTAATTGACTTTAGAATTATTGAAACAATAGATTTTTGTGAAAAATGCCCAAAATAATTAAATGCTAAACAGATTTCTTCCATTAAAAAATTTTTTCTTCATTGGCAATGATGTATGATGTCTGAAAAATGTTAAATGTCCAATAAATCAAAAATGTATAATTGGTAAAACCAAAACCTAAAATACCACTTGAGCATGGAAACCTTCATTATAAACTTGTAATATGATGGAAAATTTCAAATTAAATCATATTTTTGTGGATCAATGGACCAGATAATGACTGAATTTCATCATACATGTATTTTGAATTATCCAAACTAAAACATATGCAAAATCCTATTCTATTGGCCAGGGACTAGACTTGAGTTCAAATTATCAAATATCAAAATAACAAGGCTTTACTGTATGTGGTTTTAATTGAAAATATTAAAACATGAAAATTTAAATATACAGAAATTATCACAAAATGATTCAGAAGAGTATTAACAATAGAATTATATTTCTGAGCTTCAGGCACCATGTAATTAGGATTCTTTCTTTAGTTTCTGCTTGATTTGTACATGTTTTGTGAGTTTAGTTTGTTGGGAAATTAAATGTATAGACATTACCCTCACTCATAGTTTCAATAATGTCTCCATTTCTGAGCATAAAATCTTCCTTTTTTAATGTCAAATGTTTTGTATCATCTGTATCAAACTCCATTTTTAAGGCTATGTCAATCAAGAAAGTATATGTAATTCTTAATAAATAATTTAGCTATACTTTAGATGTGGATATATAGAGATCTCATCTCATAGATGTCATCCATGAGATGAGATAATGCATTGTGTTGTCTTGTAGTATCCATACTTAGTTTTGTTTAATTGACTGGGCAGTGGGTTCAAGACCAGACAAAACCAAAATGGATTTAATGCATCTCCTGGAAAATACCTTACTTTTAAGTGTGTTTTGGTGTTATTGTAAAGTTTGAAGTGTAGTGTTGTTGTCAGTGCTGCACTGTTTTTCTAAAAATGTTGAGTATTGAATGTATTTTGCAGTGTATACAATAACTATGATGCTGTCAAATACCTTCCTACTTATGTTACATGTATGGTTTCTGTGCTGTTTGTGCTTGCCATAGAATGACTGAATCTATGATTAACTGTTTTTTGCATGCCCATGTGGATTCTACAAGAGCAGTTTTGTTGTTCTATGTGAGGTAGGAAGTATTTTCTACAGTATAGAAAAGCACATGATTGGTCTCTTCTGTGTAGGATCTCTCTTATTGTTGCTTTTTGGTTTCATGTATATGATACCCCATGTAAAAAATTTTGGTATATATTGTGGATTATTGTGTTTGTAAAATGTTTGGCTAAATCCTACTGCAAGGATGTAAATGTTTTATATAAAAATTGTAAATATTGTCTGCACTAGATGTTTTTCAATTGTGCATTTTTTTTGTACATCATCTTGGATGTTGTATAAGTTTATTTCAACAGGAAAACTGTACTTTTCCTGTTGGTTGCAACTGTGCTGTGACTGTTTAGTGAATTTTGTATGTAGTTGTCAGAAAAGTTCTTCATTGTTCGTGAATAATTAATTTTGTTGTTTTCATAGCATTCAGGTTGTATATCATTTGAGTTTTTGCAACTTGGCTGCTAGTTTTTGTTTAATCAACATATTCCTTTGTGTGTTTGTTTTATGTTGTTCATGCTGTGTTTGTGTTTTAATTTTCTTGACCTGTTTTAATATTCTCCTAACCTGTGTCAACAAACTTGACATTATGTTGTTTTTAGTATATTGTGTCAGCCTGCCTAATTGATATCTAATGTTATTTGTACCTCTAGTCTTCTTTGCCAGACAAGCTTATAATTTGTCTGTTTTTAATAGTACAGTGGAACCTCGGTATACGACCTTAATCCGTTCCTAGTGTTTGGACTTATACCGAATAGGACGTATACCAAACCAACCTTTCCCATAAGAAGTAATGTAAAAATGATTAATCCGTTCTCGTGAAAAAAAATGGCTGGCTTTAAACACCTCGCTTTCCTGGCTAGTTCCTGCTTGATTTTTTGTGAGATCAGCATGTATCTTTTTAGCTTTCTCGCAAATAATTGCTTCTGATATGATGTCGCCAGCACACTGTTTTTCAGTTATCCAAAGCAAAAGCAATTCCTCAACAAGATCTAATGTCTTCGATCTCTGTTTAGAAATTGATTTAACTCCTTTCCCAACATTAGCAGATTTAATAATGTCTTTATTTTTCGCGATTGTCGATATCGTCGTTCTCGGAATACGGTATGCAACAGTTAAATCTTGAACACGCATACCACCTTCATATTCCTCAACAATCTCTTTTATCAGTTCCATTGTGATTCTAGTCATTTTTTTAGTTTTCTGTTGCTTTTCATTTGCCTTTTTGCAATTCATGATTAATAAAAATAATAAAATTTTACTTACAAATTAAAATCAGAAGAAATTTAACAAAGTTATAAACTGTGGCACCGCAAACGTCTAGTCTGGTCTAGTATACCAATAGTGCTACTTGTTCATAGATGGCACGTATAATTGAATTAAGTCATATACCGAACAAAAGTCATATACCAAGCAAAATTTGTTTCGTCCAAACAGAACGTATTCTAAAGCAGATGTATACCGAGGTACCACTGTATTTTAAAGTTATGGTATGTATGTAATTGCAATGACTAACCCAGAATTTCTGACACTTTGAACCTTCTGCACAGTTAGTGACTTCCATTAACAATTTTTTTCTGAATTTTCTTGTTAAAATACAGTACTTGAATAAAACCTTTACTACCAACTCAAACATATTTATTCTGTCTATGGGTATAAAACAGTTCCTGTACTGTATAATACTTGAATGAACCTACTGCAAACAGCTTGCATTCACTGTTCATGTACCCTGTATAAAAGTTTAAATTTCTGTATATTACAAAGAATGTACAGTATAATATGAATATTTTATTTATTTTTGTTAACTTTTATAAACTGTATTAAACTCTTAGCAGGATCCAATATAGACTCTCTAATTAGAGTTCTGTATGCTGATTTTTGCATAATTCAATCTAGAAAATCATCTAATTTACATAGTCAGAAATTATGTATACAAAAGGTGACCTGGTAAGTGAGGTTTTACTATAATTTGGTAATATGTATGTATTTTGTGTATACCATATATTTCACCTGTGTTTTTTGGAATAAATTTATATCTGTATTAATGAATACTGTGTCTATAATGTCATTGGATGTGATTATTGTGTTTATATCTTTATTGATATATATTATGTTATATACTTTCTTGTAAGTGACTGTTATCAATGTCTATGATTGTTTGATCTTAGTTTTCCTGAGTCAGACTACAGAATAACAAGTTATTCTTTCAAACACCATAACAGTGTATTTCTATTAATAGGACTTATCATACTGGTGTATAAGATTACAGCAACACAGTCACACAGATTAAAATTGTTTTATTTACAATTACCTGTTACAGGTAATTGTAAATAAAACAATTTTAATCTGTGTGACTGTGTTGCTGTAATCTTATACACCAGTATGATAAGTCCTATTAATAGAAATACACTGTTATGGTGTTTGAAAGAACAACTTGTTTAAATTAAGGACATTGATGCATATTAATTAACAGACTACAGAATTTTTAACTTACCAACTTGAGCATGTTTTAATGCACCAACATCATTTGTTCCATCACCACACATTAATGTGACATATCCTAAACTTTTCATTGCTGTAATCACATATTCCTGCAAAGATTTAAAATATTAATAATTCAAATGTTGAAGTAATGAAATCAATACAGAAATAAAAAATTATTTAAAACATAATATTTGTTACTAAAAGTTTTATAAATAAAGTTTCAATTAGGAGATTAAATCTTGCTTATCAGATTACTATGATCATCATTCAATATATAGCATGAAAATATATTTAAAAAAAAATATATTTCTATTGTATATATAATTTATTTGAATTCACTTAAGTTCATACATCAGTATGTACAATAATTAGATTTTTTTAAAATTTAGATTATTATAAATTTTATATTAAAAGTTTTACGACTTAAGACTTAAACCAGCATTTAATGCAATATGTATGCAATAAAAGTCTTTAGTAAATATAAAATATCCTTAAGTAATTTTCAAACATGAAGACAATACTAAAATAAATCTTTGCCTAATGTTTTCTATGCCATAATTCAATGAATGGAAAGATAGCATCTAATTGAAAACTATAAAATACCAATTTCATGAAATAGGCAAAAAATTTATCTGTCATGAATCAGCAGTTAATGAACAATTTCACAAATTTTTCCTATTTCATGAAATGAATAGCATTCCCAAATTCAGTATAATGTGTACAAATAATTTGAAACAATTGAATAAAGCAGTAAAACAAGTAAAAATAAAAACAAAAATGATTTGATATCATATCTAAAACTTTTAGCATATACAGTGGGTGATCAGTTAATAAACATAATCTGTTTCAAGACTCTGTTCGCTATCCGAATTGTTCATTAACAGATTATCAATTTACCATAGATTTTATGGGAATTTGATTAATCCATTCTGGAGACCAAATAAATAAATAAAAAAGTATATACATTCTTACTAAGTTTATTTACATGTAATAATAAATAAATATATATATACAGTCTTGCATTTTTATCAGTAATGTTTTTTTTCTGTTTATGGGGTGTTAAAAAATCTGTCCAATGTTGATTGCTTTTCTCTCTTCTTTGCTTACTTCTATTTTTCAGAAGTAATTAATAGCATTGTCATTGTAGAGATCCCTAAGCCTATTTACCTCAACTTGGTTTGAATGCCATTCTAAGAGCGTTGTTCTGACATCCTCCCACTTCTTCAAAATATGGTATCTATATACCAGTCGTTACATATGCATGCGGAACCTGGGGCTGGTCCACTAATAAAGTGCATATAAAGAGGAAATTAATCTCTTCTCAAAGACGTGCTCTAATGCTAATCACTAAAGCTTTTCGAACTACTAGTAACAAAAGCCTTCAAGTTATNAGGATGGGATAACCATATAAAATATATAACCGATCGGATTGGGCTGGTATTACATTCGTTCTCACAGGTTGCAAAGAGAGATTGGGGGCTTTCTTACGGTGCTATGAATATTATTTATGATGGTATCTATATACCAGTCGTTACATATGCATGCGGAACCTGGGGCTGGTCCACTAATAAAGTGTATATAAAGAGGAAATTAATCTCTTCTCAAAGACGTTCTCTAATGCTAATCACTAAAGCTTTTCGAACTACTAGTAACAAAAGCCTTCAAGTTATCGCCCAAAAACCCCCAATTGATATTATAATAAAACAAAGGCAAAAGTTACAACAAATCAAATGGGGCAATAGCATCAACATCATATCAGGTACCTTAACACCTATCGATGTGGAATGGCCTTTTCCCTTTAAAGACACAATAAATTATGGCATTCCAATAGATTGCAGTTATGATAATAATTATTCTATTAATGTTGATATATACACAGATGGTTCACGCATCAATGATAGTGTGGGCTGTAGTTTTGTGGCCTACTATAGTAACAATGAAATTTATCAGCAAAACATTCGACTGAATAACCGGTGTACTGTATTCCAAGCAGAGATGTATGCTATTAAAAGCGCCATAATGTGGTCTGAAAGTACTTTTGATCATGCTTACATCCATATTTTAACTGATTCATTGTCTGCATATAATATCATATATGGCAATAATTTGCATTACATGGCTGAGGAAATTAGAAATATGATCAGACTTTCTACCTCTAACTATGAGATTACTTGGGTCAAAGCTCATTGCGGCATCAAGGGTAATGAAAGGGCTGATACTTTAGCTAAACAGGCAGCTGAAAATAAGGCATTACCTATTAATTACAACAAACTCAGTTTACAAGCATTAAGACGCCTTTTATGGAATGACAGTATACAAACATGGCAAAATATTTGGAACATGAATTCTGATCATATCACGTACGAATTCATTCCTGACATCTACAATTTACTCAGCTTGAAATGGTACATCCCCAACTACTATACCACACAAATGTTCAGCGGGCATGGTAAATTTGCCAGCTACCTTTATAGGTTCACGAATAGGATTAATAATTACTGCACTATATGCTTAGTTGAAGATGGACCAAAACACTACCTCTATGACTGCGTAATGTTAGAGAAAGAAAGGCTCGAATTGAAACTGTTACTAGGTAAACACGGCATCTGTTGGCCCTGCAACTTATCGGATATTTGGAAAAATAGGGAAATATATTACGCTTTCTGTGAGTTAGCGAAGAAAACTAACTTCATAACACATCAAACCATACACAATTAATTTAACCTTTTGCTCTTGTTTTGGTTTCTTCGATCTTTATTATCTTAACGCTCAACATATTAGTATGTATTACAATATCGTAACAGATATTTCTTTCTGACTCTTGACTAGGTTTGTATACTTATAACAATTTATAATAATCATATTTGCCTGATGTAGCGAATATTATGTTTTCAGCTTAACTTTAATACACATATGGGTATTAATGCTATAATTTCGCATTAATCGTACAAATGTAATCTTGTTAATGTAACTATAATAGTATTTATTGGGACACGTACTTATGTGATCACCTGTGGCACTGATGAAATTACATTCGTGCCTTTAACTGTCATTCAAGAATTGCCGTCTTTAATTTCCTACCTTACATAAATTTGTGAAGACGGTGCGAACGTGATGGTGTTGTTCAGTGAACTTATATTAGACGGAGATCTATAAACACTTTAGATAATTCCTCTGTGGACACTTTATTACGATAGATTCTCCTACCTGACTGAATTTATATGACAGACTGCTTATGGACACTGGGATACGACCCCCTCTGGATGCCTGGAAATTTGATGCTTGGAATACAGGTGCCTCCTGACCACTCGGTTATAATATTTGTTGCATATAATATGCAATTTTACATTGGTCCTACTTGTTATTAGGAAAGTGCCTCCCTTTATTCACAGAAGTACTTTTAAATACTACATTGAACCTTCGTCAGCAATTTTTAGAGCATTTATATTGGTTCTCTAGAACTTTATAATGAGTATATAGATATGTATTTTTACTAGACACAGAATTCTTACAGTGTATTTAGTATGTTTTCAGATACAGGAGTCTGCTTTGCATCATCAAATAGCCTCTCCAAGTGTATCACTGATGTTCTTACGCCGCTAAACTACTTTCAAGTTTTCTTATAGTGCTTCTTGTGTTAAGTGCTTCCTATGACAAGAGTAATTAAACACCTTTTCAGTGTTTCATCATATCAGTTTATTACAACTGCCTCTTCAAGTATTATTAAGCGAAGATAGGATTACCTTTAAAGTGTATCCTCTCAAGTAACATAGTTTTCTACATCGTCAAATGACCTCCATAATGTGCTCTCCTTGCTCAAGATAATCAAATATTTCTTCAAGTATTTCTTCAAGCTTCTATAAGATTTCTTCTAATATCTATAAAATGCTACAGTGTTTATTATTGTGTCTATTGTGTCTATTGTTGTTCATCTTGTGCAAAGAGTATTTACGTGTCAAGTTAATCATATATTAAGTGAAACTGACGGTCTCTTACAGTGCACCTAAGTGCTTCTACAAGAACTTCCATAAATATTTACAATTGTGCACCTAGTGTTTCTACAGTGCACCTAAAAGATTTTACAAGAACTACCACAAGCATTCACAATTCGTGAATTGATACTCCTAGGTATGATTTATGGTGCCTCTGTGCTAAGTGCAGTTCGTGTTGTCTCCGAGGTTAATTGGTGCTTCTCTAAGAAGGGATATGAGCTTCCTTTCAAAGATAACAGTACTAAACTAGATGGAAGAGTGATGGAGTTACACTTATCTGTTAACTTGTAATTAATCAAACAGCTCACTACCGTGTGCTGAAGGTGCATGATGGTCCTTTGTGTCTCAAAAATATCAATATAAACTTAGATCTGATCATAGAACTGAACCTAGAATGCACCTGGACTCCTCATCGACTTTTGGCAAGCTTTTGTGTGAAGACTATGCCGCTATGACTTTCTGCATCTTCAGCGCTTCTGAACTCAAGCTGCTACATACTGTCCAACTTTTTATTTTATTTTATTATTTCTTTTACTTATCATTTATCATTTTCTTTTGTTACCACTATATAATTACAATTTGTTTAATGTATATATAATCCTACACTCACAATATATTCAAATTTTATTACTGTGATCATACAAACAATTATTAGTTTTCTGATTTATGTTTTCTCATATATAAATATTTTGTAGCTCAATACAATCTGTAACACTATTGATTTGTTGTTTCCTCATTTTCTGGTGATGCTCACTGCGGTACCAGAACATGTATAAAATTATACCATAATAAACAATGATTGATTGATTGATTGATTGATTCTTCAAAATATGTTTAATAGCAGATATAAGCATTAATCCTCTTTTTCAGAAGAAAACATATCTCGCTGAGTTTCTTGGCATTCTTCTGTCACCAGATCCATTTCAGGTTCCACTATGAGCTCTTCAATGTTCTTTATTTCTCAGATGTGATTTTTGTTACTCCTTTAGCTGCTCAAGTTTTCTTGATTATACTGTATCTTAGATAAGATTGAACTGCGGCCTACACTCACTTTTTCAAAAATAAAAACCAACACAAAACTTAATGAGTGTTGGTTTTTATTTTTGAACAACCTGCCCAACAGTCTCATGAATACTATAAAAAAATTCTTTCTGTCAGAAAAATAAAAGGCTGGAATTACAAGGGAGATTTTCAAAGTTCAGAGAAATACTATCCAATCAGTATATACTGGGTTGAACGTTGATGTCGACGTCTCCAGTGCTGCAAAAAGTTTCAAATTGTTGCCTGAAGACAAGGGAAGACCAATCAGTATTCATTATTTTACATTGCTTCTTCTTGTGTTTGTTCTGTGAGGTGTTTGTTGTCTGAACACAAAAGTCTTTTGGAAAACAAACACTTTTCCAAAAGTGTTTGTTTTCCAGTTTGTTCGTCGACCGAACTGTTCATTAACTGATCACCCACTGTACACACATTTATTAATTATGTAGGTTTATTTAGAATGAACTTAATGTACAGTTGCATTTTAAATAAAAAAATTTAGTTATTAGATTATATATAATCAGGAATTGTTTAAAATCTTGTCATATTAAAAAAATTATTATAACAAACTAGTATATCATACCTTTTGTTTTGGAGCTACTCTAGCAAAAATTTTTACATGTGGTAAGATTCTCTTAAAATATTCTTCATTTGCAGAAACCAAATAATACATTCCCTAAAAATATTTATATAATTTACAAAATTATTATTCATATTTATATAAAAAAATTATGACTGACCGCATCTTACTTCTCCTGTTATACACAAATCATAAGATAATATTAGTTCTTCAATACTATTCTTCTCTATAGGTAATACGATACTTTCATCAATTGAAATCCACTGCCAAGTAGAATCTGAAATGTTTTAAAATTTTCATGTAAATATTAGCCTATTTTAGAATAAATTAACCAATGATTATAACAATTATAGCAATAATAATGTAATGACCAAGTTTTCTGTGATCATGTATTTTCTAACTTCTAGAATATGCAAAATCGTTTTAAAAATCTAAAATCTGTAGAAGACATATCATTGTAAAGTATAGTAGTATTGCTCATTATTGCAATATTACTATAATTAGTATTACTGCTGTAATTATTGTTATAATTAATTAAATATAATAATCATAATAAACCCCATCAGGATACTATTTCAGCAATTTTAAAACAAAATTATATAAGCTTAGTGTCCCATAAGTCAGAAAAAAATAAATCAAGTAATTCATAATAGCCATGTCTTATTGCTGGCAAAGAACTGATATAAATTCTATTGAACTTTTAATACTTAAAGATGTTTATATATATACATCATTACTGAAACCATTTACCATCTATTTATTTTGAGATTATTAACTGAATATCTCATCTACAGCTGTATATCAATTACAATAAAACACATTCTGCAAACTGAGAATTTTCATCATTTTTGTCATGATTGCCGACTTTTAAGAGACTCTGTATATAAGTTTTTGCAATTTGATAATTCTCTTTTCATTATAAGAATATTAATGATAATAACAGAAAAGTACAATAGAACTCATTCCAAGGAAAATTTATAATTTAGAACATTTCATTCTTAGAGACATTAATGGTTTCATTCTTATTTTGCACATTTTGATTTTCATTTAGTTTAGTTTGTAAACTGTTTCATGTGTCATAATAAACCACATCAAGATAAAGCCTCATATTTACTTGATTCAATAAAAAGTTATTCAAATAATTAAATTATATAGCATTAAAAATTATACATTAAAAATACATGTTTTTTGATCAAGTTTAAAGTTAAAATCACTAAAGCATATTCAGAACTACAGCACTTACTATTATTCGGTGACATAGTTAATATCATTGTGAATTCCCTTTTAGTGAATTTCAGTTCTCTTGCAACATGACAAGCTGTTAATGGAGCATCACCAGTAATCATGACAACCTAAAATATAATATAAATGATCAAAATTAAAATATTGTGTTGAAATTCTAATGGAAATATTATAGTAAAACATATCATCTTTTTAAAATACAGGTATCCCTTGATTAATGTGGTTAATTAATCCCTTGATGTTATTGTCTACAGTAGTACCTCAGGATACGAACACTCCAGCATACGAAATTTTCAGGATACGACATGAAATTCGAACATACTTTTGCTCCACAGTACAAACAAAAACTCACCACATGACATTACATTAGTTTGCAGCGCCATTTTTTATTCACTTCTGTTCATTAATCTCAGTCCGCGTGTTTGCTTCGTCATGGAAGGATCTCGCTCGATAAAGGAAATCTTGAGGTATTATCAGAAAGTGACTGATTTTATTGAAAAGAAACATCCCGAAAAGGTTCACACTGGCCATATTGCTTCTTGGAGTAATGACATTTGCCTAAGTCATTTTAGAAACATTTTAAAAAATTGGCAAAGCCAAACCTCTTTGGATAGATATTTTACCAAGCGACCTCTATCCAGTGAAAGTGCTGGTGGAAGTGAAGGAAAGAAAGTAAAAAGCAGTGAATAAAAAATTAAAAATATATATATAAAACAGAAAAGTTAAAAAATTAGTGTTAAGTTATTGTTACATTATGTTATGTAAGTTAAGTTTTAGTATCATTTCCCTTCTCCCTCTCCTCCGCCACAGTTTACACCTCCCAGTCTATCCTCGAAGGTAAAGTGCAATAAAACTACATTTTTTTTTTATCAATTATTATTCTACTATGGTTATTTATACATTTACAACTACAAAACACATTTTTCAGTGTTTTCCTTACTAAATTTATTTATTTTTTCAATGTACCACTTAGCTTTAATTTCAGTGTTTTTTTCGTGTTGGAACAGATTATTTGGTTTTACATATAATCATATGAGGAAAAATGATTCACCTTATGACATTTTCATGATACGATCTCAGTTTCGGAATGAATTAATTTTGTATCCTGAGGTACTACTGTATATCAAAATTGCATTAATTAAATATGGTATCTATGTTAAGTAAAGACAGCTGGTAAAGCCACATTAATTAAAAGTTCTTCCATGTATATAAAGGGATTGCCACAATTAATTTTGCACATTAATCAAAACTTTGTATAAAGTAAAACTGCATTAAACAAAGGATAACCGTATTCAAAATTCATTGAAATAATTTTGAGAAAGTAAATATTTCCATAACTGCAAGATATATAATATTCTTGTGAGAAGCCAGGGTTGAGATGCAAAGCTTAACCCTTTTGTCAATGTCAGATCAGCGAGATCCACTAACTTTGTCACTGGATGACGTTCTTCGTTCTTTAATTCTCTTAAAGTTAAGGCAAGTGGAAGGGTTTAGTGAGGTCATCGATAAGGTATCGTCAATACACGAGTAAGAGCAACCATTGTAAAAATTCAACAAATTTAATATAACTAAAGGATTACAAACAAAAATCTAGGCGCGAGGAATACAGTTCCTTCGATCTAGCTACTAAAGAGCTAGAGAGTGCTTCTAATGTTGATTTCTATAACTATTTCTGAGAGAGAGAGAGAGAGAGAATACATAAATCAGTAAAAAATCATACTTCTTTACAGTAGTGGCTGATGTCTCGGAGGTAAATTATCTGTGGAAGACTGGGAAAATGTGGGGACGACACTTGCACAATTTACCAATATAAAAGATACTCCTTAGGACTGATCACACTAGAGGGTAAGGCACAAGGCAAAAAGATAGCTTCTTGTAGGACAATCACCCAAAAATCGGGTGCACTCGTGTTATATCCTTATCAGGTATGGGAATCTGATTAGGTGACCTTTTGTTTATTTAACTCCCACCATACAGCAACGACACATTTGAAGTGTCATCGCTGGATGGTGGGAGTTAAACAAAATCAACTAGCAGGTTTAGTATTTCTTTCGATTGTTTTTAGATTCTCCCTGTGGTCTTGGTTAAGCGTCAACTTTCTCACACGTTAACAATTGATTGTTATAACGTATTTTTTAAACTTTCTCAGGTTGATGCAAGGGGAAAGAAGTTGTTGCTTCAAAGACCCATACAAACATGAGTTCCTTAGTTGATTGTTGACAGTTAAATTAACATTCAATCTTCTCCTATTTTCAACTTTGTGGGAACCAGATGGAATGAAGAAAAGTTTTCTTATAATTCACCCTTTTTTTGTGACTTTATAGAAAAACAACTCCCTGAATCTCACATTCTCAAAAAGAAAAAAAAAAACAGAATTGTCTATAGTTTCATATGACTTTCAACACAATTGCAATTCTTCTATTTGTTGAAAAAATAATTTTAAAAACTGTTAAAATCAGAGGTAGTGAGAAATTTCTTCTTCATTTTAACATTAAAATAAGAAAAACAATAACACCCAGGTTTAATTTTCCAAATAGAATCTAAAATGTTTTAAAATTTCAGATTCTATTTGGCAATCAACCTAGATTTAAATTAATTTATCAAAGTATAATTAATTTAATTAGTTTACAGTTAATAATTTTTCATATACCTATTAAAACTAATTAAATATCAACCAAAAATAATGATATAGGATAACAGAGATTATAACATGATTAATCATAGGAATTTGTTATTGTTCAGTAAAAACAGATTTGGTGTCAGTTTATTAAATTTATGCTGCAATGTAACAAATTTTTATAAATTGTAATCCATCTTCCTTCTAAAACTATCTTTCAGAGATGCAGAATATGTTTGATTGCACAAACAAGGTTCAGGAAAAATTAAAGCAATCCTGAAAAACTTTGCAGCATAAAAATTATTATGTGATAAAAGTCATAAAAGATGAAGTAGTGTCTCAGCTGAGTCTGTAGACATTAATTATGAAAATTTGCAAATTTTTGCTCTTTCTTATAATTATAAATTTCTTGAAAATATTGTTTATAGCAGTGATAAGCAACCTTTTCTTGATGCTGGCTACAACAAGAAGGGTCTCAGCTGTCCCAAAGTGATGTCCCAACCAGAACTTTATATGCAGCAAGCTCCATAATCACCAGTACATTATGCACTAAAATAATATATGCAAACACTAATATATAGTTCTCATCTTTTTCATTGGTCAAGTTTAGTTGGAATGTTCTTTGTGAGAAATACCAGTTTACTTAGAAGACTAATGATGTCCCTCATAATGTGCTGAATACAAAGAAAATATTTTGAAAAAGTAGTGAAATCCAGAAAACTTTCGCACAATCCTATTTGTAACACTTTACATAATTAGTCATATGGCTAAAGAGCAAGTGGGTATCCTAAATTTTGTGACAATTTTTATTAGATACCATCCATTGTTCTATGAATATTTGTGAAATTCAAGTGTGAATAAAACAATTATTCTTAAATTTATCTTTTAAAAGTAATCATATGTCTAGTCTATAAAATACAAATATTTTTAACTTATATTCTAAACTTTCTTTGAAGATTTCAATTAACTGTGTACAAAGTATAGAAAATATTAAGAAAACATTAATTAGAATTAATCTAAATTTCATGAGCTATAACAAAAAATGAATAAAGTTTATATAAATTTAATTTTTAAAAAACAGAACATTACATACATGATGACTGGCTTGTTGGATTTCTTTAATGACAAGTTTTGAATCTGGTTTCAAAGGGCATGATATAACAACAAACCCTACAAATTCCAAATTACATTCTATAGACTCTCTTGTTAAATCTCGAATCTAAAATATAACATAATAATCATTAAATATTTTGTATTATAAATATCTGATATGAAAATAGAGTAATTAAATCAGTTTTTCGTTTTAATAATAGAGAATAATGTAAATTTTTCCTTTCAAAGAAATTTATATAATAATAAATAAACTAAATATACTTTGAAGAAATACAAATTTAATTAAGTAGCAGCACTAAATACTACAGCCTTTGTAAATAAATTTAGTTTTGTGCTGCACCAAAACACCATTTTTGTTTGTCAACCCCTTAGTAAACTTAGATTTAATTTACCAACCACTTTCTATATTGATACAAAACAACAATAAATTCAAATTCAAATAGGAATTTTCTCTCTATATTNTCTTAAATTTATCTTTTAAAAGTAATCATATGTCTAGTCTATAAAATACAAATATTTTTAACTTATATTCTAAACTTTCTTTGAAGATTTCAATTAACTGTGTACAAAGTATAGAAAATATTAAGAAAACATTAATTAGAATTAATCTAAATTTCATGAGCTATAACAAAAAATGAATAAAGTTTATATAAATTTAATTTTTAAAAAACAGAACATTACATACATGATGACTGGCTTGTTGGATTTCTTTAATGACAAGTTTTGAATCTGGTTTCAAAGGGCATGATATAACAACAAACCCTACAAATTCCAAATTACATTCTATAGACTCTCTTGTTAAATCTCGAATCTAAAATATAACATAATAATCATTAAATATTTTGTATTATAAATATCTGATATGAAAATAGAGTAATTAAATCAGTTTTTCGTTTTAATAATAGAGAATAATGTAAATTTTTCCTTTCAAAGAAATTTATATAATAATAAATAAACTAAATATACTTTGAAGAAATACAAATTTAATTAAGCAGCAGCACTAAATACTAGAGCCTATATTAATATATATATTTATTTATTTATTTATGATTTATTTTACAATATTTATTGATTTTATTATGGATATTGCTATCTCATATTAATTTTAAATAATGTTTATATATTTTTAAATATATATTTAAATAATGTTAAATAATGTATATATATACATATCTAAACTAAATCAGTTCATTTTATTAATATTTTGTAAATGACTTTTTTATAAAATTATTTATCAATGATTTCAGCATTGTTATATATTTATACATTAAATAATTGCCTACCTGTTGATGAGAGAGAACTCCAAGTGATTTTCTACCCAATGCAAGAACTCTGGCTCCCCTTCTTGACATTTCCATGTAAATTCTGTCATAGTTTTCTGGAATATTTGCGAACTATACGAAATATTGAAATATATTTATATAAATTAAAATAAATATGTTCATAAGTACAGTTTTTACTTACCATTCTTTTTAAAGTTTCTGGGGCTCCTTTAACAGTACCAATGTAATTGGTCTCTGAAGAACCTGGAAGACTATAACCAGCAATAACAGACATTCGTTTTAATGCACTTGAGAAATGGTATCGTTGAAAAATTTTCAATGCTAACAGTTTTCCTCTTTTAGGAATCACAGCATCACCTAAAAAAAATAAAATTTATTAACTTGATAACTTTAATATTAAATCAGATAATAAAACATTTAAAAATTATTCAAATCAAAAATTTTTTAAGTTTCAATTTAAATTTTTTTAAAACAAAATGATTTTACAGTTCTAATAAAATATATTTCAAAATAATTTAAATCGTAATTTTATTAACTTAACAAATAAAGTTACATAAAAGTGGATAAAACTGATTTTAAAATATATGAAAGCTTTCTGGATATAAAACTGTAAGCTTAATCTTTTTATATTAAATTAAATTAGTCTAATTAATAGAGTATGTATATTTATCATTTTTGAAATTTAAAAATTAAGATAAAGTTTTTGAATTTTGGAACTCTTTGATAAAGCATACTGAATTTAAATACAATAAATTGATTAATATTTTAATTTTAGATAAATACATAAAGATATAAAATTATCATCAATAAATGTAACACCTTATTAAACTATATATATATTTTTTGTGGTTTTAAGCCTTTTACCGCTCAGAGCACAAAAGGGCCAATATTAAATTATATCATAAAATGATATGTCAAATACATTATATGCCTAATTTATTAAAGATTCTGAAGCAAGCAAATAATTAAGATGTTTAAAAATAAAATGTATGTCAAAAAGAGAAGAAAAAACAAACTCATATTTATTACAATAATTTGAAAATGTTCTATATATTTTTTATTGTTTTAAATTAACTGAAATTCTTTTTGTATATTAGGTATTCATATAATTGTTGATATATTCTTCAAAAATTATTTCAAAATCCTGAACAATTAATACAGTCGATCCCCCTATAATTACGGTCCCTATAATTACGATTCCTATAAAACTACGAAAAAATATACGTATTTTGGAAATGTTGAGTCGGATTAGTGTAGAATCGATTAATTTTATGGAAGAAAACCTTTCAATCAGCCGTAGTCCGTAAACTTGACACGTGTCGGGCTGTGATTGGAACGACTTGTAAGAAATCGGATTCCTAATAAATTGGAACGTATCTATATCTTATAGGGGGGTCGACTGTNCATTCTTGCTAAAAAATAAATAATCACAGTCCAAATCTCTGTTTTTAAAAATAATTAAAAATTCAAGTTTATACTTTTTATTTAGGAATTGCTAACATTATGGTCAAATTTTTTTTCATATGATAATTATATCCATTCACATATTTTAAATTTAGACTTTATATATATTAATTCTTATCAGCCAAATAAAACTATGCGATTAAAATATATTAAAAAAAAATAATAATAAAAACCTTTTGTTAAGTTCCAATCAATTGCTGTTAGTGTGGCTTTCTCTAAAGGATCTCCTACCATTCCATCTTCCATCTGAACTAATGAATGGCATGTTGCTAAAACTTGAACACTTTCAACAGGTATTTCAGATATTGGACATACTTTAGGTTTATCTCTGTAATAAAATTATGCTTAAATGTAACTTTTGTATTATACTATAAACAAAAAAAGACTTGGATTAAAATCTCAGAGATTAAATAAATTAAAGTATCTTGTAGTTTATGAAATAAAATAAATTAATTATTATAAAAGATTGTTAGGCATTATTATTTGTTTATTTAATAAATCTAAAAAAAATGAACACAAAGCATCAAAATATAAAAATATTTCAAATAAAATGTAAATTTGTTTACATTTACTATTACAGAAACAAATTAATTTGAAATTATCCTTACTTTAATGCTGCTACTCCTTCCACTATAAAATTATCACTAGTAAGTGTCCCAGTTTTGTCAAAACAACAAATTTCTACTTTTCCTGCAAATGGAATTCTGAAAGGTTCTGTACAATATACAGCTGAAAAGATGTTTTATAACTTAATGAATTATATACAATAATACTATATTTATTTTATATTATAACTTACATAACTTCGAAAGAGCTAATAATGAAGAGTTAACAGCTAACGATAATTCAATTGGTAATTCTGGAGGCACTACAGATGTTAAAATGAGAGCACATTCTAAAAATAACTTGTATCTATTTCTTGTTGGATCTTCTGTGCCTGTAATAATAAAATAAAATTTATTTATTTATGATTACTAAAGCATTTTATTATTTCAACAAATTACCTTTAATCCAAACATAAGCAGCAGCTGCAATGGCAAATATTAGTAAAAATAAGATGAAACAAAATGTTTCTAGGTTATTAGCTGTTACACGCTTCACACCAAACAAAATTGTTCTTAATAATTTTCCCTGAGAAGTATTGAAACTTGTTCTTAACACATAAGCAATACAGCCATTATCTGTTGCTGTAAAATAAACAAATCATCAATTATAAACATCAAAGATTTTGTATGTTTCAATTTATAATGCTAATTTAATTGAAACAAAAATACCTCTCAATCCAGGATTTGCTTTAGAAGGTGAAGTATGTTGTAAGATTCTAGTACCTCCATATAAAATATGTAATCTTCCATCCACTTCTAAATCTAAATATCTGTCAGATTCAGTATTTTCAATAGGTTCCTATATTGCAAAATAATATGTAAACTTTAAAAAAAAAACAATTATAATAATAATAGTTATTTGTTAGAATTTAAAAAAACATACCTTCATTTGAGGAACAGATTCACCAGTTAACATTGACTCATCAACAATACATGGACCTCTAATAAGTAACATATCACAGGGTACTAAGTGATCATGTTGTGATCTACCTATTATAAAATGGTCATCAATATCAAATTCAATATTTAAAATAAATAAATAATTCTTCAAAATTAAAATTAAATTTTTATTAATTCAATTCAATTCTTTATTGTATGAATCTTAGTTTGTCAGAGTGTGTTAAAGTATTACATAAAAACTGGAGTTAGTACAATAAAGAGGACATAATTAAAAATTTTTTATTTATTTAAAGCTACTTGCTAAAAATGGGTGTAGCCTTTAAAATATGTGTATTGTTCAAATAAAAATATTTTATTATTTGAGAAACTTTCTTATAATAAATAGTCAAGAAAATAAAACAGAACAAAATAATAATAATAATATACAAAAATAATACATGTTTATAAAAACAATATCCAACAAAATGAAAACAGATCAATGTAAAATCATCAATAAGAATAAACAAACAAAAATAACCAGTACAAAAGTAACACTATCACAAAAACAAATATTTCTGATCATCTTTAACAACCATCTTCAGGTTTTTAGAATTACAAATAGAACAGAAACCAAAATACAAAATTTAAATATATCTAATTCTAAAAAACCTAAAGATGGTCATTAAAGATGTTCAGAAATGTCTTTTTAGTAATAAATTGTTACTTTTGTACTGGAAATAAGAATGCTAGAAAAAAGTGAATTAAACTAAAGTGAACTAAAATTTATTCTTTAAAAGTAAAATAATGAATTATTTGTAAAAATTTAACTTTTTTATCCTAATTATTAATTAAAACATATAAATTGATGGATTAAATAAAAACAAACTATTTGTTTATCTGTTAGTGCAAAGAGCCTCCTAGTTATATAAACTAACAAATTATGTATTCAAAATACAATAGAACTTAAATTACATAATCAATATTTACTGATAAATATTTTTTTTACATACTTCAAATGCACATTTTATTCTTGATCTATTCTTAAATATCTAAATTAAATTAGGTAGATGACATTTGTAAGTATATGATCATGTAACAGTTTATTTATTAATTTTCAAATTATTATCAAGAAATATTTTATATCTCATTTAAATACATAACAACAACACTAACAAACTCTTAACTAATTTGCATTTCTAATACTTTTATCTGTGTAATATTATAAATATACATTATAATTAAGGTCTAGATTTTTGGGTGCCGCACCCATTCAATTTTGAAAAGGGGCAAAGTGTAAAAAGACAAACTATGTCAGTTTTAGTGCAGTAGGCCCACTCATTGCCAAATTGTTTAGCACACAAATGCACCCAAAACACAAACCTGCCCCCAAAACAGTGACTAGCACCCAAACTATATATTTTGCACCCAGCTTCTCCCTTTTTTATATTTTCAAAGAATATGTTAACAATTATCTCTTTTTTGGTGGTTTTTATTCATTCAATTGAGAAGAAAAAAACAAATTCATTAAACCAGACCACATATGCTGAGAAAAAAAATACGATAATTAGCTTACTCTCTTCTTTTGTTGAGAGAAAAGGGGGTAATGGGGAATTTTCTGGACTAAACAACTAAGCCTTAGGGTTGTTCTAAGAATGTAAACAGATTCACTGAAAATCTGTAACACATGTTTTCTTTTATAAGAAAAGAACAATCTAAAAAATTCTGGACCATGTTCAGTAATGCAGAATTCTTGCTAAGTCTAATTATGCTGCAATATTGAACTCGTTTCTAACTACTGCTTGACTCCTCCCACTGCTAGAATTCTAGCTAGTTCAGTCAGCTCCTTTTATCTATGCTAACTTCTACTAGTGACATCATTGTTTTTGTCTCTTGTACAATTTGCAAGATGGCTACTTATATTGGACTAAATGTATTTTATTATAACAATCACAAAGTTATTCTCTCATTCTAAATCATAACCTCATTCTAAAATGACTTTGAATGACTAAAAATGTATAACTTTATGGTAATTATGTAATAATTAAGCTTTATCTTGTGAATAACCCATAGGTGGTATGCATTTTAAAATCAACTTTAAAGTAGGAGCAAGTTATCTGTAAATTTTGCAAATACAAGTTCACCCGATAGCTTTTCCTTTCTAAACATACTAATACTGTCTGTAAATATCATAAAAAATTCTTGATGAAGACACACATTCATTTGCCATCATAATTTTTCTGGAAATCATCAGACACACATACATATGCTTCAGTTTAATTCTCTCCTGTTTTCTGTAAGTTAATCCACATTTTAATTTGATATTATTTGATACTTCTACTTAAACCTGTATTTTGAAAGCTAATAAATTTCTGGCAATTTCCCCTTTCTAAACAATGACACTCAGAGAACTATTTAAAAGCAGACTGTCAATTTTAGCATATCTTAATTCTTTCTTGTAAACAAAAGATATGCAATAAACTCCTGAACTCATGTTGTTAGATACTACATAGCCTATGCAATTTTCTTAGCAAAATTAGCAATGATGTCATTAATAGAAATTATTTTATTTACCACTTATTTACTCTAAATCTGACATACAATCATTCCCAGCAAAACTGACACCAGTCATATTGCCACAAAAGTGTGATTGTCTTGTCCAAAGTATACTACAGATATTATTCATATTAAAATATTTGTCTACTTAATTTTGAGCATTTAAATTATTATATTTTTAAAGTTTGTTAAATAAAAGATAAACTTTTCAAAATAATTTTTGATAAGCAGTTAATCAGTTTCATTGATGATTAACATACATGATTTATTAATAACATTTATAATTCTAATTGTAGAAATGAAGACTTTCTAGTTTAGAAATTAATTTTGATAATACATCATATATTTAAAATGATATACACACTATGACTGTAATGTTTCATTCTGATGATTAATATGTAACATTTATCATTTTTTATGAATTTTCCTATTTAGCAAATTTCTCAACTAGTTCAACGTGTTAAAAATGTTCATTTTCCACATTTCAAGTGTAAGCCAATAAAAATAGCTTTCCAGTTTCTCATTCATTTTCAATATTCACTGTCAATGTGAGCTAACACTTAGAATGATTCTACACGCTTTCATATGACTGAATTTTTGGCAGAAGGACATACACCAGTATACTTGGCAACTAATGTCACATACACCAGTATAGGACAAGTCTATCAACTAAAACAACAAACCTTCATCAATTTTTTAAAAGTATATGACTTAATTTCACATTTTACTTTTATTTGCTCAAATGTATTGTACAGTACATACAGTAAATTGAAACTTCTTTGTTAAGAACTGTGTTTTTCTCAGTTCCTTTGAAAAATGTATTAACAGGTCTGACTGTAGGTATATTCTAAGAGGGTCTTCATTAGCTTTGAATTATAACTTACATATAAATGTATAAATTCAGATAATAAAAGTGTGTTAATATATTTTTTAAATTAATAAAAAATCAAATTATGCAACATAATAAAAAATGATTTTCTGTAAACATCATTCAGTATTCATAACAATAAACAAACATTTCATTATTATATATATTTAACTTAAGAATAAAATACTCCATTATGACAATTTAAATATACCCAATTATTAAAATAAACAATTGTTTTTAATTTATTGAATATTAAGTCATACTCAAAATAATTTGAATTTAAAATAATCATTATTGAAATCATATTATTGTCAATCTTTAATGACAGTATTGGAATTGTCCAATATCACGTAATCAATTGGTTTTCTTTTTAAAATCAATACAGTAGAGCATTGATTATACGACCCCCGATTAACCATCACATCGGTTAACCAACTGTTCTAGTCGGCAAATTTCAAATGTCCGCTAGTGATGTGGCACTACAATATTTGGCTATGTCTTAGCTACTTTAATATTATTTTTGTTAAATTTTTGCGTGTTTTAGCTGGCAACACGGCTCGACCATTGAAGAGAGGCCAGTATTTAAACGAGACTTAATTTTTTAATTACGAGTGGTTGTTTGTTTTGTGAGCAATAAAATAATTTAAAAATAATTTTTAACAATACAATAGCGACAATTATTATTTTTTTAAAGAATTTGCTAAACTTAACATTGATGAAAATTCAATGCAAAGTTGGTTAATAGCGATATACTAATAAACTAATATACTATACTAATAATGTATTTTTTCCTTCTTTTCGGTTATCTGATTTTTTCAGTTATCCGACCAACCTGAGTCCCCAATTGAGTCGGATAATCGATGCTCTACTGTATCTAAATAAATAAATAAAATACTTTCTTACTGGAACTACACTATAAATAAAAATCAAAACCTTTAAACAATCCAGCAAATCGTTTTTTAATATCTTAAAAATGCTTTTGAACGCTTTAAGCGATCATCCTCAGTTATCATTTTGAATCAAACGAAGAATTCTTCGTTCGATTCAAAATGATAACTAAAAATTATCGCTTAAAGTGTTCTAAAGCATTTTTAAGATATTAAAAAACGATTTGCTGGATTGTTTAAAGGTTTTGATTTTTATTTACTGTATCTAATATTTCCAATATTATAGGGATGGCTGAATACATCTTGTGTAACAGCTAATTTTACTGATATTTTAAGATTTTTATATTTTCATGTACATTGCTAATTAGGCCCATCAATACTTTCTTTAGCAATAGAAACAAGTGCCAATCTGTCGGCTCACCAGCAGACAAAATGTGGGATATTTTTTTAGGAATAAGATTATTTTGATTATTGACATAAATTTTTGGTTTGTATATAAAAACAAAACAGAGCTTTAAAAAAAAAACCTGAAAAGAAAATTATTTTTATTTCAAATTGTTTTCAACAGTAGTTAATTGTTGGAATAAAATAAAATTTTCACTCATTCTCCCCACAGAAAATTTGCATATGCATTCGCATTTTGAATTGCATTTAAAAATTTTTCTGAAATGTCTTGATAAAATAACTAAATAGAAGTTTTATTATCTTTTTATAAACATATTTTTCTTTGTTTTCAAATATATCAAAAATATATATGTTTTTCTCATATATCTATTTTTCTCATAGATATATTTTAATATATTAATATTTTTACTTTCTAATAAATTTAAAAACTCAAATATGGTTACATTTTTGAAAGAAAAATGTATTGCAAAAAGTAAAACATTTGCAAAAATTCAGATTCATTGGTATTCAGAAGAAATATTTGTGCATTTTTTAAATAATTTTTCAGAAAAATATGCAAGATCATTGTTACTATAAAGAAGTGCACCATGCTAAAAATAGCTCATCCCATCATGGTATTGATGAGAATACCTGTTTCATTTAATTTTAGTTATTTTCTATTTTATTTTTATTAATTAATCACAGTATTATATCACGTTTATACTTGCACCTATTTATGCTATTCTACAATGATAATACATGCTTAAAGTAAAATGTCCATTTATTTTAAAAAATTATATTATTATTATTAGTTTAGTGTTGTATGGCAAATTAAAAATTCAGATATAATAAATAAATCTTTAGATTGTCAAGATATATTGAACACATAGAAAAAAAATTGGTATCAAATTGGATCAGATAATTTCTATATTGCTCAAACAATATTAATCTTATTACCATTAATAGATTTATTTTGAGTTAGTTACAGAGTTCATAGCCTTTATTTTGAAGTAAAATAATCTTTATTTAAATAAAAATTTTTAATAAAATGAAAAGTTGAATTTTACTCACCTACAGATACAACATCACCAGGAATAAGATCACTACTAACAATCTGTCTCCATTTACGATTTCTATATACCTGTAAGCAGAACATTTTTTTTTCCATTTAAAAATTTGTTTATATATATACATGCTTCTTAGAAAATATATATAAATATATATATCAATACCTGTATCATATATGGCTTATTTCCCATTTTACGAATTTCTGAGAGATTACGAAGTTGTTGATGAACTAATGTACATTCAAATGCTATGAGCATAACTAAGGTAAATACACTGTAATACCAAAATTCATCCAGACACCAAAGTAAAACACAAAACACTTGAAAGACAAAAAATGGAGCTGTTGCTCTTTCTTTAAATAATTCGATAAATTCAGGAACTACCATTTCCAATCTAAATTTAAAATGTAACTTTATAGATTATATACTTTAATTTTAAATAAGTAATAAGTTATGTAATTTCATAAATATTTATCAATTTAATTATTATTTATTAGTTTAAATTATTAATAATTTTAATTTAAAGGACAAGTGTATAAAATCATTTTGAAGTTCAGATTACATCGATTTTAAAAAATTTTATTTTAATATTAGGATAGTATGTACTAATAAATTTTAGTTATAGTAAACAATAATTCATTCTTAATTTTATTTATCTACAATGAAATCTTGTAAATCATAAATTACACTTTATCACACACTTTCCATTTCATTATTTTATAACAATGCATCATAAATATTACTTGAACGATTTCTTACTATAACTTTAAACTTTAAGATAAAAGTTTCAACAACAATGGCTTTTCTTATAAATATAATAATTTATTATTAGGTTAATAATAGTTTATAAATGTGTATGCTAGATATATTTATATTTGTTGTTAGTATATATATTACGAGGATAAATAACTTAGTAATGTTTCATTCATAACACCTAATTCATTAATCCTAGTTACTCAAGAACACGCAGGGAATTAATAATTTGTAATTATTAAACAGTTTGTTTTACCTTATGTTTAAATTTTAAAAAAAAACAAGTAATCTTACTCATTTTTTCCATATTTTCTATCTGCTGCTTTAACTTCTTCTTCATCTGCATATCCCTTCCATTGTTGATAATAGCCAAAAGACAAATCAACAGGAAATTCTAATCCAACAAATGTTTTCTTTTCATCATTATAAACATACTTTGTTTTTTGAAACATAAACCAAATATCCCATATACCATGATCCTAAAATAAAAAGTTTATTATTAATAGAAATATATTTTTCCTTATATATTTTCTATTATTTTAGATATACTGTATATGGATTTACATTCATATTCAAATGCTTGATTCATTAATTAAATTATGCAAATAAAATTTGAATTCATTATATTATAAAAATCATATNGAAAACATAATAATAAATACTAATGAATCAAGAGCATTTAAACTTTGATGTACTGTACATAGAATATTGAATTATTACATAAAGTCCATCATTTATAGATTTAAATAATTATGAAATTCAAGCAGTAAGGCTTTTTATGTATTAAAAAAATTAATTTTAAAATCTTTATAAATTTACAAAATTCTCTCTTATTAAAAAACCATATAATTTATTTTTGAAGAATTACTATTTTATTTCAAGGGAATGTTATGACATGTAATGTCATAATCTGTATTCCTATTTTCACTCTCCTATTTCTACTTCCTTATTTAGTTTAAACAATTTTATTAAGTATTTATTTATAACTCAAGAATCTTTTCCTCTTGATTTCTTTAATTTAACTAATGTTAAAAATTTTAATATATGTGTATTTTACGTTTTATAAAATCGTGGGAAAATGTCTATATTTAATAAGATTTTAATATTTTTTAAATTATTATTCCATGTATATCTTTTGTCATGTTTTAATTGCAATTATTTTATGCTGTTGTATATTGAAAAGGGAAGAGATTTCTACAATACAGTCTACTGTATTAACTATGTATTTTATGTGCATAAACAAAAAAAAATTTATTCATTAGCATATCCTGTACAAGAAAGAAATAAATTTTAAAAAAAAGTAAAGTTTATTAACAGAAAAGAAAAACAAAACTAAAAACTTTCACATGGTAAACTTAATTGGGTAAAGAAATAAGATACAAGACTGGTTAATACAATGCATGGTTAACAAGGAAATGTACAATTTTTACTTTCAATAACCTTCAACCTAATTAAAAACAACTTAATTTGATAACCAGGAAAAAAGCAGAGGTATATGATTCCAATAAAACAAGATAATGAAGCATCATACTAAATGTGTAAAAATATTTTTTTTTCTTTAAATAGATTAGAAAAATACAACATAGCTCTATAAAAACAAAAAAATAATATCAGAAATGGATTGCCCTAACAAAGTAAAAAGAAAATGAGCTAAAAAAATGCAGAAAAAAAAATTTCACATTCATATTTATTCCTAAAGTAAAATTAGGAATTCCATTAAATAAGTTTGTTCTGGTAGATCATTTTTAAAATATTGTCAAAAAATGATATTTTAGATTATGTCTGAGTTAAACTTCTGTATTTTTATCTATTCTTTGGATGTAATATATATAGCTTATCCACAATTATGTATGTAATTAAAGGAAATAAATTAATAAATAGAAATGTATGTAATTAAATTAATAACGTGATTAAAAATTCATTAAAAATAACCTTAATAATGGTCAAAATGTCTTAAATTTTTTATTTAACTCAATATAATATAAATTCACTACTTTTATGTTGAACTATAAAAAATGTAAAATATTTAATCAATTTTTACTTTATTTTAACATTTACTGTTTCTTAAGAATTATATTTATGCATCAAGTATATATAAATGTTTTCTTTTCATTCTATTAATAAGTGATTAAATGTATCAATTATAGAAAATCCTAGCACAGATTTTGAATATTTTTAATTTAATTTAAAAATCTCTTCCTTTTCAATAATTTATTAATATTTCAAATTACAGTAAAAAATTCAAAACTTTCTATACATATAATTAATTAATTGCTTAGAAAAACTTTTATTTACATATTTTATAATTTTATGATTGGTTGTCCTAATTTGAAAATGTGATTTATTAGATATTAGGGAGTATTTCCCAACCTAGAGTGTGAAAAAAAAAAAATCTGTAATGACTGCCAAATATAATTTTAAATCAGTAATTTTTTCAGTTTGAAAGTTTATACATAGACTATCAAAATTTTTTAGTCCAGAACAATTGTGTTTTGGACTAAAAAAATTTCAAGTTTGCTGTACTTCAACTGATGATGACCCACACACACAAGCCATCCATCAATGAGGCAAATCTATGAGACTGTTGACCACAAGGTTATCTACACACAGTCTGGTGATCAATTCTACAGTGCCTTCAAAATGTAGTTTGGGAAAATGCCCTCACAAATGGTCCTCTGGTAACTGTTAACTGACTTCTGTACAATGAAAATGCACCATACTAACAGCCCTGAGTTTCATCTCCATAGTTCCATACCCCAAACCAGACTTGGGATCCTGCATATTCTTCCTGTATCCCAGACTCAAATACACCCTAACAGACAGATACAAAAAAATGGAAAGATTGCTCCAAACAATCTAGAGAAATCTACTTTGAAAAAGATAATGCCTGATAAGTAGTAATTACTTTTATCTTCCTACAATAAATTCTGTCCCAGATATTTTTGATCAGCTCTTGTTAAGCTCTGCATTATTACATATTTATATAATGCCATGTAAAAATATTGTCTCTCTCTTTATTTCCTCAAACTGATTCATTTTAAAAAGTATAGTAGGGTATTGTACAAATATGTGGTTTAATGTCACTGTTATCATTTAATTTGTATCTTTGTGTAAATAAATTATTTTATATCACAAAAGAACCCATAAAGTAATAAAGCACCAATACATTCTAATAACATATGGTTAATAAAATGTCTTTTTAAGTCTAAAACACAAAGCATTCAGCTATGACATATTCCTCTGTATTATGTATCAGAGTCCACAGAATTAAATGGTTTTATCAAGTATGGCTTCTTCTCCAATAAAACAGCATTTCTCTCTAAATAGACTAAAATATCATTTAAAATAAACTTTATAAAACATGTATTTAATAACTATTTATCATCACTCAATTTGTATATATTTATAAACATAATAAACATACCAATGCCCTATTTTCAGTCACCATATTAGAAAGATTAAACTGGCGTCTATAGTTCATTTCAATCACAAATATTCAACAGTATATAAATTACAGTACATATTTCTATAGAAAAGTCTGTTCCTAATCAAATAGTTTGTTAAATTTTCTATTGGCTATTAATATGCCTCAAAATCAAACTTATAACAACCACAAATGACTTTAAGGCGACTATTTTATCATTTCAATTTTATTAACTTCATCATTTCAATTTTATTGATATTATATAGTATTGTACCCAACTGAAGAGGGATGAATGTATATGTCCAAAATGCATATTGGAGTCAATAAAATTGAAATGATAAAACAGTCACCTTAAAGTCATTTGTAGTTGTTATAAGTTTGGTTTTGAGGCATATTAATAGCCAATAGAAAATTTAACATATTTATCCAAACAAAAAGCATTTTATACTCCAAATAGTTTATGTTGATGAGTCAAGCAAGCGGGGCTTATGTAAATTTGTTATATTAGATGACAATGATAGAAAAATTTCTGCAGAAATGTTTTATGATAAAAATAAACTTTTAAAATGAGTTTTTACAGAGTTAAGTCCAAACATTATTTTATGTTTATGGGTTTTGTTTTATTTATAGTTTTGATTTGTTTAGGATGTTTTATTTTGTTTTACTTCAAAAACTCCCATATTTTGTATACAGTATAGTCCCATACAACATGGGGGATTCGTTACACATTATCGAAACCTGTATTATCACACAATTTATAAAAGTTTAAACCTTAGCCTATAAGTTGAAAAAAAAACATATACCTCTAATCAACAAAAATTGAGGGTGTTGCTTGCTTTATTTGCTTGTTTTATGGGACTCTACTGTATTTTAATTCTAAAACTTTAAAAAATTATTATTTATGTAAGTGACTGTCACTCATGAACTTGTTTGTTGCCAATCTAAAATGGCATTGCTAATTAAGTGATCTCCAAAGTGAATTAAAGAGTGCTCACTTAATCACATTATTGCAGGTTTTAAAATTCAACAAATTAATGAAAAGATTGGGACTGACTTTGTCAGAAAAAGATTGCTGAGAATTAATTTTACAATGTTAGTATGTATGTAAATAGGATGGAACTGCACAGGATATTGTGACATCACCCTCAAAGTGTATGAAACAACTATAGAGTGAGAGAAGCTTCTAAGTGCAAGATAGAGTGATTAGATTTTTTTGTGTTAATTGCAGTGACAGGGAGTTAACTTGTAACATTTTCTGTAAGTGATATAAATTTATTGTTGGTCTTTGTGAAGATTACTTTAAGATTTCTAATTGTCAGGAACATCTGTAATTTTTGTTTTGTTTTTTGATGATTTTTGACTAATTATAGTTTAAAAATTTTTTTATATTATTGTTTGTTGAATTACTAAAATATAATACTTTTAGTGCAAATTAGTATCATTTTTGTGAATTTTTTCTTGGCTCACATGGAATTATTACATGCAAATTTTTACCAAGTATTTATTAAATATATTTATCGAGTTTCGACAAGATGTGAATTACTTTTTCGTTTTTTTTTCTGGACAAGAGTGCTCACAATTTTCTCTTGCTTGTGTGTCTGAAAGTCCAAGCCTGGCAATCAGTTAAACCCCTCTTATTTTTTATATATATCACTGCTCATTAGGTAAATCTGGGTAAACTTGTTTGTTTAATCAAAATAGTGCATTATAAGTTTACATAACTATTTGCATTTACTAATTCAACAATTTTGAAAAGTCAACAACTTGAATTTTTGTTTTTTTGCATTCAAATTCTAATACATCATATCTGAAATGTTCTAAAGATGAAGTCTTATCAACTATGATAATTTAGGCAGATTATACCAATTATTTCAAATCAGATTTTAAAAATATAAAAAAGTGAAACTGAATATGACTTGTAAAAATGTCATAATAATGATAAATATTTTGACAATACTTCATTATTATTTTTATGTTTAGGCTCTTTTTACATTTAAAATTTCATAATATAGTATTAAGACTGCTGGAAACTAGTCAATGCCATCACTGTTGACTTAATATCAGATGATATTTCTGCAGCCATGTGACTACTTTCCTTTAGCAAACTTGCAATGCCAACAACTTGTCACTCATGATGTAGTTTTAAAAAAATCAACAAACAACCTATGAACTATTGCTTGAAAGAATTTGCTGATAAAATGATAAAATTAAGTTAATTAATGTGTTACTTTTAGTTTCATGCTACCATCTTGTGTTTTTTTATTAGTAAATAATTAATAAATAAACAACCAATGTATCACTAAAGATATTTTATACATTTACATATATATATTTTAGTTTCAATAATTTAATGAAATAATTATAATGTTTTTATATGAATGATAATCAGTCAAAAAACTTTTTGTCTTGAAATCACAATTTGTAGCTGAAATAAGTGGCATTAATATTTCACAACCATTGCACAAAAAATCCAACATGTTGGATCTGAGAGTATTTGAAGAAACTGTCTACTTTCCATCAAAGAGTATGATGTAGAGTAATGAATTGATGACTGCAGGATCGATAATTGAATCTTTCATGATTATATAAATTAAGTTTGATGTTGAATCTTACAGGTTTGCTTCAATATTGAGTTTTGCACTTAGTCTTAAATATATTGTGCAATAATTGTTGAAAAAGTAAATCAAACATAAAATAAATTTTAATTGGAAATTTTTTCAAACACAAATAGTGAAAATTATAAGTGTGATGGCTTCAATATTTTAATCAAGATTATTAAGCTGGTCCTAGTTGATTTGTCCAATTTTTTGATTATTATAGTAAATAAAAATTTGCAATTTTATTTTAGTTAGACATGGACAGTTCTCAATTGATGAAGAAGCTCCATTCTGATAATCCTACAGTAAGTCAATATGATCATAAATCAAATTGGGTTGTTTGGAAAGTTATTTAATTTTTTTATTACTAGAGGAATTAGATGTATTTTTACCAGCCAATTTCATTTTAAAACACATTTTCATTATATATTTTGACAGCTGACATTTAAAGGCTTATTTGTAAAAAATTTTGTTTGAATCTGTACAATTTTTTTTCTCGGTGTCCCATCAAATATGGAAAATCAAAAGCAACATTTTCGGCAAATTTTGCTTTTTTATTACCAAAAAATCAAAATGCTGTTCAAGCAAAAAAGAAATTGTGGTAAATGTATGAAGATAATGTGTTGAGAGAAAGACAGTACCAAAACTGGTTTACAACATTTCATTCTGGTAATTTCAATATTGAAGATGCACCACATTCTGGATGGTCAGTTGAAGCCAATGAAAACAAAATAAAGGTACTGATTGAAGCAAACTGCCAAATAACAACACGTGAAATCACTAAGAGATTAAATTTGTCAAATTGAACTGTTTATGAGTACTTGAAACAAACTGGTTTTGTTTCAAAGCTCAATATATGAATTCCACGAGTTCTTAAAGAGAAATGCTCTATTTGGTGGGATATTAAGGAAATTTTTTTTTGGAGCTTTTACCAGACAATTTAACAATTGATTCGAAAGTGTACTGCCATTGCATAAACAAATTGAGTAATATCATCAAGCAGAAAAGGCCGCCAGAATTGATCAACAAAACAGGTGTAGTGTTTTACCATGATAATGTCAAATTTCACACAAGTTTGGTAACTCTTCAGAAACTGTTATAACTTAGATGGGATGTGCTATTACACCAACCATATTTGCCAGATCAGGCACCCTCAGATTATTACTTGTTCCAGTCTTTACAAAATATTTTAAACTGTAAGACGTTTACTTGAAATGAAAATGTCAAAAATTAGTTGCATCCGTTTTTTGTAAGCAAACATCAAAACTTTTATAAATGTGGAACCATACTACTACCAGAAATGATGGCAGCAGGTATTTGACCAAAATGGTCAATATATAATTCAATAAAATATTTATTATAAAAATATTTTTTTTTTAAGGTCTGTTTTGTCCTATTTGTTTATAGTGTAATGTTGGTGTACTGAATGTATGACTGATCATTGGATGACAAGCAGTTTTAAGTAGGTTAATCTATAAATTTTGAGGAAATTGGTTTTATGAAACTTGATACAAAATATTCAATTTGACAAATCAAGTATATTTACATGATTTATTCAAAATAAAATGCTAATTAAAAAAAATATATATATATATAAATCAATATTTATTTTATAACAACAGTATTATTTTATCACTGTAATATATAAAAATATAATTTGTTGTGTTTTGAAACATTACTAAACTTACTTTTGAATGATGAAGTTTAACCAATTCAGCAGATCCATTATTTGGAGTTGGTTTCACTTTGACTAATACAGCTTTCTTTGGATCAACAACCTAAATTTTTAATAAGGAATAAAATTTGTTTTTATTAATATTACAATAAAAGCAATTTAATAAATGTATCTCATTTACATGAAACAAATCAGAATGAATAAATAAAACTGAATTTTTAAAATATCAATCATGAATTTTAGAAGAACAATAAGTGAAACCTCTCTTAATAGAGACTTCTTTATAAATAAGCAATTTTCATGATCCAGTATAAAAAAAAAATATATAACTTCATTACAATTAACCTCTCTTAAATGTATACTCTCTTAACAGATAAAAATTAAGACTACTGTCTATCGACATTAATAAACTTTATTAATTAAAACACACACAATCACACATACAAGTAAGTACTTTCAACCTTTATAGAATGTCATCTTCAGATGAAAAAAAACAAACTTTACAACGTTTATATAAAATCTTAAATTAATGTAACAATCAAACAAAACAAAATTATTCTCAGCCAGGAATTAATTTTTTAAATTATTAAATAGCAAAGCCCATATTTTAGGAGCTCTAGGGTGGGTCTATTACAAGACTATTTTCTTAATAAATGCTTCCCAGATAAATAACTAGTTACAGTCCACACACCGTACAATGAAGGAAGACTCATTTCATAGGGGCACAAAGCTAAGATCAAGTACCCTCCTAGATAGTTCTACTGAAAGTCTATTATTACAAATGTCATCTTGGTACTCTACTGTTGGCTTTGTAATTTTCTTGTTGTGTCCCTGATATAAATCATCATTGCACCACTGTTTTGATCTTGTAAGGAAACTAAGTAAATGCCTGATTTTTCTGAAGTGGATAAACAATCTCTTTCAATATATAGTATTCTTTGTAAGGACAACTGTGGTTTTATTGGAAGGTTAAAACATAATTTCCAAAACTTTTTGGTGGATACTCTCTGTTATTGATAGACATGTGAAATGTGATAAGGTTGATATCTCAATCTCTCTTAATAAATATAATACTTTATTACTGAGTCAATCTCCTTGTTTGGAGTTTATGGTTACAATCAACTCAAATCAATTCTAAAATCTAAAAATAAAAAGTTGCTGTTTGCTGTGAAACAGAACACAATTTCCAAGTTGAAAAAGAATGTGTGTGTGTGAATAAGGCTGTATGTAAATCACTGACATTTAAAGAGAATGAAAATTATTGAATATCAAACATTAGAAGTACAAAATGAGAAAATGAAAAGAAATGTTCAACACTGTGAAAATGCAAGCTGCAGAAACAAGTAGAAGGCTGAGGTTTCTCAACTACTCAACCATTGATCCTGTAATGACAACAAGCAGCAAATCCAATAGATGCAAGGAAGAAGTACAACTCCTAACTTGCACATATTTAATTTGCTGCTTGTTTGCTGTACCTATTGGATTTTTAAAAGTTTTTTAAAACTTTTAACATTAGTATTATAGTATTTTTAATATTAATCCAGTTTCAAAAAAGTTTAATAATAATTGTATAAAAAATTATATAAATTATATGAATAACAGTATATTCATTTAGAGATTCACCTCATATAATGTAAACCTCATTTAATCAGAGTTATACTATAATTAAAAATATAAAAGAAACTTTATTAGATTAAATATAAAAAGTAAAAAAATAAACAAAAATTACAGTGAAATAATTATACAGTATTTAAAGATTATAAACTGCATTGTTTCAAGTTTCTATCACAACTATTTAATACATTTCAGTATATTGTAAATGCTAATAAATTTTTTTTTCATTTAAAATGTGATTTCAAACATTCTAGATACAAATATATTTCAATCCAACTTATAATCAATTTAGATTTTACTAATTTTATTAGAATATATATATTTAACAAAAAACCATTAATGGCTTAAAAGTTAAACATTATTGTTTATTTTGCATTAATTGATATAAGAGTCATACTTAGACATTTGTGCAAAGCATAATATAAATATAGTAGTTAAGACAAATATCATTAATAATGAAAAAATTACATTTACAAAAATATGTACAATATTTCTGTTCAATTGAGTAAAAATGAAAAATTACACATAAAAATGGCATTTAGTCATATTTTGATTTGTTCCTTTGCTCTGTATGGAACTCAAATGTAATGTTTAAATGAGCTTTATAAATATTTTGTTTGCAATTAATTTTGCCATTTATATTCTTCTTTATGTTTTATTTCTAGTAATTAATTAATATTACATCTTAATGATACAAGTTATAAATGAATTAGATATATCAACATATACCTAGATTTAAATGTAAATGAACAATGCTGTTTAATGAAATTTCTTAGTTTTAATATTATGAAAAAGATCATTGTTATAGAAAATGTGTATTTGGTCTACCAGTTGATTCAAGGCTAAAAAAAAAAGTAAATATTGAATATAAAATGTAAATTTGTGTCATGATTAATTGGATAGTCAGTCAATTAATGATAAAATAATCCTATCTCAGACACACACACTCTTTATAGATACATTCAATTCCTTACATTATACATTTTCTTTTTCCAATCAATCAATAGAACAAATATACAAGAGCAGAGTTCCAATCAAATATACATTTTCTTGTTCCAACTTGTTTTTAAAATATTAAAACTAAAAAATCTCAAAGGAAATTTTTTAAATCCATCTTGATCTAGCTATTCTTATAGATCATATATCAGAAAGACAATGTTGTGAACATTTTAGAATGTGATTCTGACCAATTTTCAAGTTGAAAAAGAATCTGAAACTAGTTCATGTATGTATAACAATTTTTTATTTACTTTGCATTATACATTAAATAATAAAAATTAATTATAATATGAAATCATACAGGAAGGATTATCATGATTAATGTTGTAATCAGTATATCTTTATCGATAAAAAATAATAATAATAATTTTTTTAATATCTATACATTAATACATGTAAATATAAACATATTTTTTTAATATAATCTAGCTTGATACTCACACCAACTAATGAATAGCAGGAAGAAAAGTTCATTGAGTATGGCATTATTAATAGTTTTTTCTCTTGCTAGCACTTTCAACAAATTTATTTTCATTGTTGTCAGGCAAATAAAAACTCCATTGCCAAATTTGTGCAGACTCATCAGCAACAATCGGGACAAATTTGCCACCTTTGAGAAATCACCTTTGAGAAATTTGCCACCTTTGAGAAATCTGGATTCTCCAATGTGGTACCATTGGAGAATCCAGCAATGGGGATGAATATGAGATATAGTACACTGGTGCCACAGCAAGAATGCTTGCTACCTGCGTAGCTAAGCACCATGATAATGTGGTGAAAGGAAAGCGCACCACAGAGCTTGCAAAAAAGGTGCTCAAACAAAATTACAACACGTTATGGGCCCAAACAACAATACTCAAAGCCTGCAGTGATCGAAAACTCTTCTTTATAAGGGAATTCTACTCAAAAAATTCTCAGAAACATGCAACACTCCAACTCTTGATTTGCCCAACATATGAGTCACCTTCAATGTTCCCTCTAAGCTGCACGGCTGCGCACTGCTCAAATTGTTGCCCCACACGAGAATTTATGTGCCGCGCAGGTGAACATGCACACCTATTTGAATTGTTCTTTACTTATTTCTCACTCTGTCTGCAACATGATTATTGCTGAGTATATTTCGATTAAATACATNTAGAAAAACTTTTATTTACATATTTTATAATTTTATGATTGGTTGTCCTAATTTGAAAATGTGATTTATTAGATATTAGGGAGTATTTCCCAACCTAGAGTGTGAAAAAAAAAAAATCTGTAATGACTGCCAAATATAATTTTAAATCAGTAATTTTTTCAGTTTGAAAGTTTATACATAGACTATCAAAATTTTTTAGTCCAGAACAATTGTGTTTTGGACTAAAAAAATTTCAAGTTTGCTGTACTTCAACTGATGATGACCCACACACACAAGCCATCCATCAATGAGGCAAATCTATGAGACTGTTGACCACAAGGTTATCTACACACAGTCTGGTGATCAATTCTACAGTGCCTTCAAAATGTAGTTTGGGAAAATGCCCTCACAAATGGTCCTCTGGTAACTGTTAACTGACTTCTGTACAATGAAAATGCACCATACTAACAGCCCTGAGTTTCATCTCCATAGTTCCATACCCCAAACCAGACTTGGGATCCTGCATATTCTTCCTGTATCCCAGACTCAAATACACCCTAACAGACAGATACAAAAAAATGGAAAGATTGCTCCAAACAATCTAGAGAAATCTACTTTGAAAAAGATAATGCCTGATAAGTAGTAATTACTTTTATCTTCCTACAATAAATTCTGTCCCAGATATTTTTGATCAGCTCTTGTTAAGCTCTGCATTATTACATATTTATATAATGCCATGTAAAAATATTGTCTCTCTCTTTATTTCCTCAAACTGATTCATTTTAAAAAGTATAGTAGGGTATTGTACAAATATGTGGTTTAATGTCACTGTTATCATTTAATTTGTATCTTTGTGTAAATAAATTATTTTATATCACAAAAGAACCCATAAAGTAATAAAGCACCAATACATTCTAATAACATATGGTTAATAAAATGTCTTTTTAAGTCTAAAACACAAAGCATTCAGCTATGACATATTCCTCTGTATTATGTATCAGAGTCCACAGAATTAAATGGTTTTATCAAGTATGGCTTCTTCTCCAATAAAACAGCATTTCTCTCTAAATAGACTAAAATATCATTTAAAATAAACTTTATAAAACATGTATTTAATAACTATTTATCATCACTCAATTTGTATATATTTATAAACATAATAAACATACCAATGCCCTATTTTCAGTCACCATATTAGAAAGATTAAACTGGCGTCTATAGTTCATTTCAATCACAAATATTCAACAGTATATAAATTACAGTACATATTTCTATAGAAAAGTCTGTTCCTAATCAAATAGTTTGTTAAATTTTCTATTGGCTATTAATATGCCTCAAAATCAAACTTATAACAACCACAAATGACTTTAAGGCGA